TTTTTTTCTCAATTAAGTTGTTGTATAGTGATCGTAGAATAGCCTCTTTGTTCAACTTGGGGGATTGTGATGTTGATTGCATAGATACTGAATCCTAATTATACTGTGTGTATTCCTATTTAAGCGTAATCCTATATTTGGTCCCTAATCTGTTGCTCTTTAATACTTGTACCCTTGTATAAGTAGTTTCCTATTATGAAACTCCCACATATAGGAAAGTGTGTTATCAAAATTGATTAAAGAAAAGGATTTTCTGAAATGAGGGAAATATATTAAGAGGCAACAAGGGGGTGCCCCGTAAGTACAAAAGTTATACAAAAGTCATGACAACAAAATGTCAATCAGATTCCCGAAATAACTTCGAGCAAATGTTTTACAATTATGGGCCAGAAATTTTTATTCTACTGATATTAGCAAATACGACTTTAAACAGCAATGTCGAAACTAAGATTTTCTTTTGGAAATAAATAGTAAGATCCATTCAAAGGCACCAACAGGGAACAAATCAATATATAAAAATATTTACATATCGGACCAAAATATCAATGGTGTCCCCAAAATCTTCAAAAGAGTAAAGAATATGACTTTTAATAAAAAAAAAGTTCTGAAACTAACTATTCTTAATTATATAAAAACCCCTCTTCGTTGCCCTCAAAAACTTTTCTATCTTTTTTCCTTCCAAACCACCTAAAAGGTGGCAAGAGGGATTGTTTAAGTCCATAAAAAGAATTTTTTAAATCTATAAACTTTATTTTCTCCCAAAGGTTTTTCAAATCTAAGTGGTCCATAAATAGTTCTTCCTCAAGGTTGGGATTTGAAACGGTATTCTTTACATCAAGCTGATATAAAAACCAATTTTTTCCTGTTGTAACAATAACAAAAACCCAAATAGAGTTGATCTTACCCACCCAAGCAAATGTTGCTTGATAGTTTACTCCGAAGGTTGAAGTGAACTCTTTTGCTACAGAGCATGCCTCGTATCTTTGAATATTCCTATTAGCTTCATATTAGCATGAAAACGTACTTATGCCCAATACTGGTTTTATCTCTCGGTAAATCGGTAAATTAACAATTTCCCAAGTTCCACTTTTCTTAAGAGCATACATCTCCTCCTTGATACATCACAAATTTCACATTGAAGTCATAAAAAATCCAAACATTTAAACATAGGTGGAAACAAATGTCTCAAATAAGAAAAATTAGGATATCCTAGTCTAAGATGCCATTGCATTATTTGTTCTAAACTAGAATTTGAACTCATATAGCTTAAAGCTTGAGCCTTTTTATTCTTGAAGGAAACCTCATCATCTATCTCTCTAACTCTCTCAATCATTGTCCCCGAATGCTCGTCCTGAAAAACAAGACTCGTAAACATAATAGGACAATCAGAATTTTTAGAGAGCTTACTAATAGACAAGAAGTTATACGTAAGTTTCGGAATATGGAGAATAGATACAAGATCTATATCCCTCGATGTTTTAACAATGTATTCTCTAGCTATGGAAGAGAAATCTCCATAAGCAATTTAGATTTTTTCATTACCAGAACAAGGTGTATAAAATGAAACAAATGAAATAGGGTTGCCATATAACCAAATGCTCATGAATCAATGATCCAAAGGAGGAATTTTCACATAAATGAGCCATATAACAATTAGAAATATCAGGATCCAGATTGGACGCTAGAAGCTCCAGAAGCTGATCAATTTGCTCCTTGGTAAATGGACGAGGCTCTTCAGCAACTGCACTAGCATAATGTTACAGTCTTTTGTCCCTCAACTTCAAATCAATAGCTTTCTCATGGATAAGCCAGTAAGTATCTTTAATGTGGTGTGATTTATTAAAACTTTTCACACCATATTCGAGGTCTTCCTTCATTCTTTTGCAGGTCTGGACCGTTTCTCCTACTCACATGTGCCTCTACAGTAACAAATGCCAATCCCTCTATTGTGCTATTTGATTTATTTTTCTTTCCAAGCATGACATATCTTCGATTCTCTTATCAGCAAACCTTGAAGAAGACTTCATTAATGGAGGGCAAGGGAATCCTCCCTATGATTCCTCGGACTTCATCATAATCAACATTGAGACCCATAAGGAATTTAAAGACTCGGTTTGCATCTTGTTACGTATCGAATAGCATTATCAAGGAACTTCTACTCGAGGATGTTGAAAAGGTCCAAGTCCTACCAAACATGCTTTAAAGAATTGAAATATTTTGTGACAGATTCATTACCTTAACGAACATCATCTAGCTTCAAGTGGGTTCATACACTTAGGATTGGTTACCAAAATCATTGTATATTTTGGTAACATTGCCCCAAAGTTCTTTGGCAGTAGTGTAACTAGTGTAATTAAAATTAATATCCTCCTCCATAGAATTCACAGTCCATGTCATAACTCTGGAATTGGCTAGCTCCCTAGTAGCACCAGTAAGATATCCAATTTTTTCTCATCCTCTAATATACATCTGACCTTACTGTAACCAGCGTAACAACTATCACCACGGAGACAAGTGGTGGTAACTTGGACCAGGTGAGTTTTGGAGTTAGAGAAGACTCGAGAATAATAGGTTTGGTTAACATTACGTGGAGGAAGGAGTGAGCAATCACAATTTCCAACATGGTGGAGGTCTATTAACGTTGTGATGGTTACATGAACAGCTGTGTAGGGTTTACTCAGAAAAAAAAAAAAAAAAAGAGAAAAAAAATATTATGACTGGAACACAGAAAAAGAAATATTCTGATTTTATATTCTTATATTAGAAGGTCTCCTACTAATAGCACGATGCGATCTTACAAAAAGGGAGCTAATCTTACTAAGGATCCTGCAAATCTTCCTAGTCAATTATTCCCTATTAATTTTAAAAAAACTATTAGAAACTAAATTGGAAAATAAATATCAAGAATCTCAACACTAATTACAAACTTTCCAACTCAACTTTCTCAACAAATCCATAGGAATCAACACATGTTACATGATGAATTTTAACCATTATATTTTGTAAGCTCAGGAAACATTTTACCTAATCTAATCAAATGTAAGAGGACAAAAAGGGACATGAAAAAAGAGTTAGGTCCCAATCCTAACAGATGTAGGATAAGTTGCCTCCGTTACCAACTGATGTAGAACAAAAGAGAGAATAAGAGAAAGTAGAAATAAAAGCAAAAAAGAACAGCCAGCAAAAGAACAGAAGGAACAAAAAGAAAAAAGGATAATGGTGAGGAGATCGAGAGATTTCATAGGTATACATGGGTGAGACGAATGTGTACATCAGATTTCGTCCCATAAGGTGCATTAGGAAAATGCAAGGCAATAAAACTGTTCCAATGATGAACCACTCATAAAATATTCAGCAAATAAGACCTTCAAGGACATTCAGAGTTCAATATGAAGTTTTGGTTTAAAAGTAGAGAACTTCAACCTGAAGTTCAGATAGCTGATCAACATATTCTTGAGCAAGAATGTCCACCCTTGTAGAGAATTGTTGGCCAATTTTGATGAATGTAGGACCCAATCTCAAGATACTTTCCTTCAACCACTTGGCCAGGGTCTTCCTCCTTAGAGCTTTTTTCTCCTCATTCATTCCTCCTGCAAGGTATAATCATTTAAAGGAAGATATAAAAACTCCATTAACTCCATAAGATTAACCAATAACTTCATCACAATGGTGCCAGGAAAACAATTACATTCAACAGACAAAAACAAACTATCTTATGCTTGATTGTGGAAAAGCTGAAGAAAATTCAAGCAAATATGGAAATAATTGGTTACATTGGCGTGGGCTGAAAGGAGTAACTTGAATCATAATCACCTTCTTTTTTGGTGATAAATCGTTATCCAATTAACATAAGGGTGTATAAAACTAATATTTTTCCAAACTGTTCAAGTTTAATTACTTTTTTTTTTTTTTACTTTTGCAACTTATTTTGGAGAAGTCTTCATGGTTCTTCTTATTTTGTGGTTTTGTCTGATCTAAATGAATTTGGTTTGGCAACCAGAGATTTAAATAACAATGTTTTGTTCCCAAATTTGATCTCCTAAATGCCCTTCGGTTAAAATTTCAGCCTATAAGTTAAAAGAGTGTTTTTTAAGGTAAGTAGTAAAGCTGGATGCTCCCAGCATAGATTGAATCCTCACTCCCTCTATGGGGAGAGGAAGAGGTAATTAATTGGACTCTTTTCCATTGGTTGTCATTGAATATCATTGATAAATACTATATTATGCACGAACAGTAGCTACAAAAATAATTTTTCATGAGGATAGTTTAAAAATAAATGAAATTTAGCTGAAAATTTGAAGAAAAGAGATAGGCTGGAGGAAATTGGGATCAAGCTGAAGAGATGTAGGAAGAAGAGAATGAACAGGTTAGGCAGGATAATAACAAGAAAGAATGAATAAAGAGAGACAATAGAAAATGAAACCCTAACAAAGAAAGTCTTAATTCATCATCATTCTTATATTGGTAGCTACTAAACTTTACGAGCGTTAATTGAAACTAATTCAGAAAATTACAAAAGAAAAAATCTAAAAGATGTTAATTCTTATAAGCTTCAAAATTTATTTAAATAGAAAATTAAAATATTACAATATCTAAAAATATAAAACAGTAATAATTATAGAAAAAATTCTTTAGTTCCAAATTTATTCCAAACTAATGTCTTCTTATTCTGCATCGTTCTACCATACCTAGTGAAGACTCGAATTCGAGTTTTGAAGTGATGAGATATAAAAATAGAAAAACTCGAACATTCCCTTCAAAATCCTTAAGAAGTCAAGATTTTTTTTTATCTCCATGTAAAATTAAAAGTTAATTAGAAATACAGGTTCTTAGAATCGGTAAAGCAACAAGACAAAATAAAATCATTTCAAAAAGTTACAAAACAAAAGCACCACCCATGATTGCTTTTTTAGCTTGGGAGGCGGGCAAATAATATATCCTGACTATTGACAACTTGATGAGGGGCAGACTTTGGGTCAATAGATGCTACCTGTATAAAAATGCTGCGAAATCTTGTAACCACGTTCTTTTTTGGTGTCCTGTGGCTATAGTTTATGATCTATGGTGTATCTCTTGTTAGGGATCAACTGGGTCATTGCAAGGCCGGTTGGGGATGAGATCTGGGCTTGGGAGAGTTTATGTAAAAGGAAGAAATTTGTTAACCTCATCTCTTTGACCATCTTTTTGAATGATTTGGAATGAGAGGAATTTTAGAACTTTTGAAGGAGTGGAAAGGGTGATTTATAAATCAACGGATGGGTGGCTTCATTATTTTAA